AAAAAAAAAAAGAGTGAGATCTTTCAGGGGCATAGAAAAAGCCCATGTTTCAGCACAGGATCTTGGAAAATCTATGCTTTTTTTCTTTTCTTTTTCATTTTATGGATTGAACCTAGGGGTGTTTTACCACTGAGCTACATTCCCAGCCCATTTTATTTTATATTTTAGACAGGGGCTCTCTAAAATGCTAAGGCTGGCCTTGAACTTGTGACTCTCCTACCTCAGCCTCCTGTGTTGCTAGGATTACAGGCATCTGCTACTGCACCCTGCAGAACTGATACTCTTGAAGGATCCATAGGGCARCCAGAACAAAAGGAGAGAAGAACAAGAAGTTGGCTATGAAACCAAAGAGGGAAAGTTTCAGGAAGAGGATAGTTAACAGTCAGTGCAGTGAAGAGCAAGGTGAGAGCAGGAGACAGCTACTGAACCTGCCAACTTGGACATCATTCCTGACATGTGCAGTTTCGGTTGTGGGATGTGCTGGGARGGCAAATTACAATGTAATTACAAATTGTAATTATAAATCACAATGGGAGTGGGAATGCATTTGTACAGGGACTCTCTTTCAGTGGTTCCCAAATCTGGCTATTTCTCAAAATTATCCAGGGAATTTTTATTTTATTGCTTACAGTAATGGGGATCAAACCCAGATCAGAAATTTTAAAATTTAGCAGTGAAATATGAGAACAAAGTTCTTTTTTATGGGTTTTGTTCAAAAAGATGTTTTTCCTTTCTTCCACTTGTAATAAGTCTCTAAAGGACCAACCGGAACTCTAGAATTGTGCCTGGATGTTGTTAATTTTCAAGAAATAGTTGTTTTGTTACTATTCTTATGAATAGTTCATAAGAACTATTGTGATAACAGTAGAGAGAGAACCACAGATGGATGGTATAACTTTTTACCACAACTTTATTGAATTATCATTTATATACTRTAAAGTCATGCTTTTAACGGGTGATTTTTAGCATATTCAGAATTGTGCAACTATCACCACTAATTTTAGAATATTTTAATCTCCCCACAAAGAAATTGCATACCCAGGGGCTGGGATTATAGTGCCATGGTAGTGTGCTTGCCTAGCACGGGTGAGGCACTGAATTCAATCCTCAGCACAACATAAAGTATTATATGTCTATCTATCAAAAAAAAAAAATCCCACACCCAGTTACATTCACTCCCCATTCTCTTTTCCTTAGCCCCTAGCAACTACAATCTTTCTCTCTCTATGGATTTGTCTATTATAGAGACTTTAACAGAATCATACAATATGCAGCCTTTTTATACCTGCTCACCATGTTTTCAAGGTTCTTCTATATTTAGTATGTTCCATCACTTCATTCTTTTTTATAGGCAAATAATATTCCATGGTTTAGATAGAACATTGATCTATTCATTAATTGGTCATGTAGGTTTGCACCTTTGGTCTATTAACAATGCTGCTATGGACATCTGCATGAGTTTGTGTGTGACAATGTTTTCTTTTGGATACATTYGTGGGAGTAGGATTACCGGGTCATATGGTAAGCTTGTTTTCTTTTTTGAGGAACTACCAACCCATTTTCAAAGGGACCACATAATTTTATGTTCCTACCAAAAAATGTAGGAGTGTTCTAATTTCTCGGCACCCTGGCCAAACACTCATTATCTGGCTTTTAGTCTAGCCATACTTGTGAGTATGAAATAATATGCATTTCCTTAATGGCTAATGATGTTGAGCTTCTTTTCATGTGGACATCACCCATTTGTATTGCCATTTTTAAAGTCAGGTTGTCTTTTTTTTAAAACTTAAATTGTAAGTATTGTTTAGATATTCTCAGTGCAAGTCCCTTATCAAATGCTTGATATGCATTYTTCTCCTGTGTTACCTTTTCACAAAATAGTGTTCTTTGGAAAAAGTTTAATGGAACCTTTTCTTTGGTTGTTTGGGCTTTTTTACTTGTATCTAAGAAACCACTCCCTAGCCCACCCAATGAAGATTTAGTTTCCTTCCAAGAGTTTTAAAGTTTTAGCTCCTACATTTATTATTTAGCTCTTCCATACATTTTGAGTTAATTTTTGTCTATGGCACAAAGCTATGGATGGTGTAACTCGTAAGATTTGCTCATTTCTTTGAAAATGAAGGATCAACCAGTCCCACTGGTTGAAGCTCAGAATTGTAGGAAGGACCCAACTGCACTTGCTGAGGTCTAATTTACGCCAAAAAGTTAGACAGGACTGTTACACACAGAAATATCTTACAATTAGGGCTTAGTTCAACCTTAAGAACACTAGGAGAGGATCAATTCTGTGTATTAGAGAAGACTCTGACTATGGGATGAGGAATGGTGCAAGACTGAAGACCTATGAAGAGGCAACTGCATTGATTTTGAGGGGGTAACAGCTAATTATGGTAGTGGCAAGAGAGCATGAAGAGAAGTGGAAAATATGAAAAAAGATATGGAAATAGAATAGACAAGTGATCAGACTAGATGGCAAAGAATACAATCTTTGATCAAAAACAAGGTATGAACAGTCACCAGTTTTATTGAGCATCTCAAACTAGTTCTGAAGGCACCTATTCAAGAGACATTCCAAACAGCTTCTGAGCAATGCACAGCTCCCCATGAGGGTTTCAATGGTACACAAGATAATGTACACATTATTCTTGGTTAAAGTAAGGTTCACTAAATGCCTTCACTTTATACTTACTTGCAAGTGATAAAACAATGTACGCTTTTCAGTACTTCACCCTAAGTTTCTGCTCAATTAAGTTCAAGTGTGTGAGGTTTACTTGTTTACTGATTCTGATCTACAAAAACAGGCAAGCTTCAAGATACCAGAATGTTTATTCATAAACCGAAAATAACAAAAAGAGTCCTTTATTCTCCTGAAATAGGAAACTGTATATTTCCGTAGTCAAAACAATAAACAATTTAAGATTTCTTTAAAAAATTAGTTGAGAATCTTGATGAAATTCATTTATTTCAGTAGAATAAAACAATAAGCAGCATGAAAATATAAAGTGCTACATAAAAGCCCCAATACATAAAATTTGAAAGTTCATTGGCTTTAAACAGTTACAAGTGAAACAGACAGATTTTTATCAAGCATGCTATTTTAACTACCTTAATAAGTAGTAATGTACTATGTTGGTCAATGAAAAAGCCAAGAGTTACCTAAATCTGAGAATTGGGGTAATAAGGAGTCCTTTACATCTTTATATACCAGATTATACTTGAATTAAGAGTTATGCTTGAATTAAGAGTTAAAGTGGGGCTTTAAAATAACAAGTTTTCTGAAGAGGCCCTTCAGTGGGGTTTCAATAAAAATGGCCCCAAAGATCAATTTAATGTGGTTTATTAACCACACAATGGGGATCAGATTGACAATTTCAGGATTTTTAGGAAGACCATTCGAGGTGAAAGAGGAAAAACGTGCCACTTCTACATGTATGTGTCAAGTGCTAAAAGACCCTGAACAATCAGGCAGGTGTCCAGTTCCTTGAAGGTAAGGGAAGAGACACAAATCAGATTAAAGAAGGATCTGCAAAATGCTTAATTGTAAAGCACAGGTACAGCCTGTGGAAACAGTCAAGATCATATACATCCAGAGGCTGGCTCAAGTTTGAGAGGAAATAGAAAGAAGATTGTTCCTAGCGCATGATTAATCTCAGCATAGGTTGAGGGCATGGGATTTATTTCTTAGGTGATGCCAATACCTGGTCTTCCCAGTTGGGTAGACAACTGACCCAATATTTCTAATATCTTGGGTTATAAACCAAGACTTCAGGATGTATTTTCTCATGGCAATAAAATTATAAAATGGAATCTATAATTTTCCTGACATGAGGTCTTCATAAGTCCTTAGGCTTTTCAGACTACCAACTTCAGCTAGATATAACAGAAAAAAAAAAACCTGAACAACTTTAAAATGCTAAATTATTAAAGTTTAAGACAACTCTATATTATATAATAGTATGCAATATGTTCTTATTTTAGATACAGACTTAATGGAAAACTGGCCATCAAGTAAAAATAGAAATTATGTCTGATGGTTAGTAGATCCAAAGTCCTGTGTTAGGAGTAAAAATTAAATTTGCTTTTAAAATTATTTTATGAATTGCTTTTTTCTAGCCCATAATTTCAGTTAGTTAAAACCACATAAGGACTTCATGAATACCCTCCCCCAAACTATCCAAATATATATGGGCTAAATTTCATGGACTGGTTTAGAACTTAAATATCATTTACATTGAGTTGTACCCAAAAAAAYGTTTACAAATGCACTTTTAGAGCAAAAGCTGTTTGAAGGCTGGGGACTATATTTAAAAATTAAAACTTCATTAACCACACTCCACGAGTAGTCAACGTTGCTAACCGCACATGCTAGAGGCAATATTTTCTGAGTCTATGGTCTCACCAGGCATTTTAATGACAAAATTATCCACCAGCATCCGYGGAGCTGACTAGCATTCAGTGATATACTGATTTTTTTCACTGAAAATCTTTCTTGGGCTTTGATTAGGTGGACTATTATAAGTAAGTTTTTCTAAYTTTTATCACTAATACTTGGGCCCTGAGGTTTTCTATTAAAATGGTACATGAAATATTTAAACATTATGCATATTCCTGAAGTAATTACAATTTATAGTGATTACAAAGCTAGGTATATAACACATTTCAAAATATATACAATTCAAAGCAAAGCAAACATTCAAATCTTAAGATACTCCCACTGAACTTCCAGAAGAAAATCAAATAATTTCTGGCTTGGACTCTTTCTTCCTTAAGACAAAGACCTATGAAGGACTGTTTTCTTTCTTTTAAAATCTGTGTGTCTATTGGAGAAAAAAGGATGATAACAGCATATCAAAGTGGTTACAAAGTACTTCCTCTTCAAGTAACATCTGATAACAATGATGTAATCTCATTTCCTCATAAACATTTGATTGAAATAAATTATATTAGAACAGTTACAGAGTGGACAGTCCCAGTATGAATGACACTTTATAAGGAAGCTACTTGAGTCTTGTTTTCCCTTTTCAACTCTTCTGTCCCTAGATCATTCTGCCTAGGTAGAAATAGCACTCAATAAATGATATTGAGTAACTAGTAATACTCAGGGGAACTTAAAATACCATCATTTATCTGAAAAATTCAAAGGACTAAACAAAAAAATATTTCAAATTTACAGAAGCTGAGGCATTAGAAACAACAATAAGTTATTTCCCTATGAAGCAGATCAAATAGTGCGACAAGAAACTGACTTCTAGTCCTTTACATTAAGCAGGACACACTGCTGGATATAGTCTAACTATCTAGCCATATTTATATTGAATTTATAAGGATCAAAAAAGGAATGGAGGATAAATACAAAATAATTTTTTTGTAAACAATTCTTAGATTATACCCAATGCAGAATGTTTAATGAAGCAGTTGAGTCACAGCTCTTAAGTTGCAAAACAATATTATAACTCAAAGTCAAATATGTACTCATTGGCCAGATATATTCGTCGGAATATAAGAGCTGCCAATGCCAAAGTCAGAATGACAATCAGTACAGCTGATCCACCGTGATCAGTGTGGTTGTCTCTTGGCTGCTGGCCCTGGATTACATCTGGTGAGGTGGATGACCTTCTTTGACTCTGCTGCTGGGCCCGGCGCTGTCGAGGGCTCATGGAGGTATTCTTAGCTGCAGGTTGGGTAGGTTGTTGAAAGGATGCTGCAGATGGATTCTGGACTCCATACTAGAAAATTTTAAGAAATTTTGTTTAAAATTGGCAAATTTTTTTTTTACATATGCTTGTTATCTATCCAAGAAAACACAGAATATCTGAGTATTAAACATGACCAATGACAAAATTACCAACAACTATCTGAATGCTGAAACTGGTAACTCACCCTGTTGAAAACAAGTAAAGCAACTTATTCTGAGCACCCAAAAAGTGGAGGAGGAATTTAATAGCAATAAAATTGATAAGGCAAAATTTACCCATTTTTCCCATAGATGGTGTTCTACTTTGCCCCAAGATGCACCTCCAGCARTACCTGCTAAGCATCCGGCCATGATTTTCTTTCAGGAGATCCACAAAGGAAACAGTTTTATTAACACTTTCTGCTTGAAAATTACCCATCTTAAATGGGCAAAAAGGGCAGTTCTCAACAGTGTGCCATCATGAACCAGGTTTTGTCCAATATTATCTTATTATAATCAATATTCTTCCACCAACAGTAATGGAGCACAGGAAATAATTTCAAACCATAAATTCTTTATACAAATTTTTTTWAAAAAATCAGGTGCAATTTTCAGACCAGTCTAATCTTGTTCAATTCCTGGTAAGTGAACTGAACTCAAGTCCAGAAGTATCTGTTACTTAGTACTGAACACTCTGTGCTATGTATAGAGTTCCCTGGGTAAGTAAGTGCTAAGAAAAAATTTGGAAGTAGTAATGTGACTCAGTGTGTCCTCTCTTTCGGCACATGGGTTGCTCTCCACAAAGTACTRTATAATAACTGCTTTTTATCATTTCATTGACTGGTCAGTCAGAGCTTAACTACAACGTGATACCAAATGGTTCCAAATACTAAATATAGTTAATATATAAGAAAAAAAATGGTGATGGTATGTTCAAGTAAGCTGTATAAAATACAAATTCCATTTAATTTATACAGATACTTTAACCCTACCTCTACGGTCTTGAATTCTTCTATTAAAATATATTATTTATTGTGTATTGGTTATACATTATCATCAGTACACATTCTTTCAAAAAAATAAGAATGCATGTTTTATTCAGAATAATGCAAATATTTTAAATACAAAATGTTTAAAATGCCTCATTAGATAAAATGTAAATATTTAGAAGAAAAAAAATCAACATAATTCAAAAACTTTTAAAAGGATGGGCTAGGCATGCTGGCACTTGCCTGTAATCCTAGCTATTTGGAAGTTTAAGGCATACAGATGGGCAAGTTCAAGGCCAGCCTAGGCAATGTAGCAAGACCCAATCTCAAAATAAATAAAAAAGGGTTGGGGATGGAGCTCAGTGATAAAGCACCCCTGGATTTTAATCACTAGTACCAAATAAATAAAAGGTTAGAGAATGGGCTCTGGGTTGGCAACAGCTTTAAACGTTAGGGGAAACACTGCTAAGTTACCTACAGAAGAATTTCTATTTCAAATCTAACATTTATCTCAATATTGAAAGGCTTAAATAATCTGAATTTCTTACAACGTCCTTGGGCATCACTCAAATGCAGTGTGACCCACAATACAGAGGTTAAAAGGAACTACAAACTTTGACTTAAACATAAGTTAGTGCTAGGGCTAGAATGTAGGTAGTAAGGTTGGAGCTCAGTAGTAGAGTGATTGCCCAGCACCTGCACCTAGACCCTGGGTTTGATCCCTAGCACTGCAAAGAAAAAAAGTGCTGATAACAGAATTAGAGTTGCATGAACTCAGACCTCCATAATCCAGGATGCCAAGGAGCAATCTGCTCATTGAAGAGTGCTGATACAGAAAGCTCAGCGTTTTTATGTCATCACAAGTGTCGTAAAATGAGTTAACAAATACTCAATAGGTTGAACTGAATTACAATAGCCTATATAGAAACATTCCAGTTGAAATCTCCCATTCTTCTGATTGCTCAACCCCAAGAAGATGAAAGTAATACAGCCAAAGTATTCAASGCTCAAAGGGAAACAAGTTCTTAAGGAAAAGAAAAAACATGGTGGTAATATCAATCTAGAAATTAGCACTAGAGATTGAGTCAGATTAAAACTTTTATTTTTACACATTACTTTTTCCATTAATTTAAGAGAACATTATCCTGTCCAAAACAGAAAGCTTTATCATTATTAGCTTGGCTTTGTTGCTTAGTAGTTGCGTTATCCTAAGCAAGTTAGTTAACCTAAGTCAATTCCCTCAACTATACAAGGATAGAAACCAATTCAGCAGTTATGAGGATTAAATGGCATAATGATAATAAAGTGCTTAGTATACATAATTGCTTATTAAATGTTATTATTAATATTATTGCTATCAATATATCTCTTTGGAGACAATAAAAAGTTGTGAATTTACTTAGGACAGCTTTTTGACACTTTATTAGTATGATTACTATATTTAGAAAAACAATCCTTTAAAATATTGAATCTAGATGATATTTTAGTACATGTACTTAATGGAAATATTTATATGGATATAATATTTTAATTGGGTTCCTATGTTTCAGATGTCTTTTGGATGCTAGATCGCTAACTAAAACCTAGTGTTTTGATACTATAAAATTCTAAAATTTTTCCTATTTAAAATAACCATAGTCAAGGTTAAGCAATATAATATCAACTTTTCTACAATAACCTATAAAAACCAGTATCTACTTGAACATAAAATGAATCACTTATTTGGAAACTCAATCCATGGGAAGAGCACAAAATCTGACAGATCAGAACATGAAACTCCATCATTCTACATAACTAAAAAAACTGCATCAGAAACCAATAAATGGCCTGATGTTACCTGTTGTATTTTAGACTTTGGGCAATCTCTAACTCCAGCAAGGTATTAAAAAAAAAAAGTAGTTTATCAGGAATTTGAGGTATAACATCTCAGTGAATTTATATTATGCTTGCATGTGAAGCAGATATGCCTAGCTAAAACCAGGTTTCAGTCATTCCCATAGTGGTCAAATTATATAATCACACTTTGAAATAGTTTATATGTAAATGTAATTAAAAGCCCCATTTGACAAATATAGACAATTTAACTTTTATGGTAATTTTAACTAAAATTGTTCTCAATTAATGATCTAATATATATYGAAAAAAATTCTAAGTTTTATGAACATTAAAATCAAAATGGGAAATACTCTAATAATATTATTGCCATATAGTCTAATTACTTAAATTTCTTGATTTCTTTGTCTGTATTCCTAGTATTTTTTTAAAGTGTCAATCCTAAAATTCATTCAATCAACAAGTATGTATTAACTACTTACTATATACAAAGCATTAAGCCAAACACTGGGATTAGTCAAAAGAGCCTTGACTCTCAAGAACTAATGCTCAGGGACATGAGATAGGCAATAAATAATTAATAACAAAATAAATTACAAACTGAAAAATGTAACAAAGTCATTTTATACAGATTTAAAATGTATAAAAGACAGATTTAGATATGTCACAAATATTAAGAGACCATCCTATATAGGTTTTTAAAAAAATTACCAACATCATCTTAGTAATAAAATAATTTAAAAAGTTATTTACCAAATAAAAACCAATTAGAATATTAATGATAAAACCAATTAGAATACTAATCAGATCAGGTACAGTGGTGCACACCTGTAATCACAGCGGCTCAGGATGCTGAGGCAGAAGAATCTTGAGTTCAAAGCCAGCCTCAGCATGGTGAGGTGCTAAGCAACTCAGTGAGACCCTGTTTCTAAATAAAACACAAAACACAGGGCTGGGAAGTGGCTCAGTGGTTGAGTGCCCCTGAGTTCAATCCTGGGTACCCCACAGCCCTCTCAAAAAAAAAAAAGGAAAAAAAAAGTAATAAGGAAGTTTTAACACTTCAAATTGACTTTAATTCATTATATTCCTCTGCAATTCATAAAATTACATTGGGATCATATAAAAACAATTTAAATTCATCCACATATACTTTCTTCCCACACTTCCATCTTCAGTCCCCTAGAACTTYCCCTAGAGGATGCTCTCCCTTGCTTTTCTCCAACTCACTTTTCTCTACCCAGCTCACTCTGAGTAAGAGACAGCCACTCACTATTCACTTCTACATGAGAGTAAGTTATTCCTGATTAAGGGGCAAATATGCTTTTGCCCAGCTTTTTCCATTTTCCTGACCCTTTAAAGTCCTCTATAAACTGATGGGGAGATATGAACTTAACCAAACAAACCAAAAAGACCCCCAAACAGTTCATCTTTTCTATATAGAAAGGAAAGTCATTATTTTCCCTCCTAATCCTAATTATTTAGCACTGATCCAGTCATACTTTTTAAATCAGTCTCTCTGATTACCTAGACACCAATTTTTTAGACAATAGGTCAGGGCACATCTAGCAATACACAAAGAATTCATTCATTCTTTCATCCAAAAATTATTAGACACTTACTATGTGGAAGGCAGTACTATCCAATAGAACTGTGAGTAATAATAAAGATCTATATCTATACTTCTAAATATGGTGGCCACTAGCCATATGGAACACTTGAAATGTAGTTACTGTGAGCAATTAAGTTTCAAATTTTATTTAATTTTAATTACTTTAAATCTAAATTCAGATAGCCACATATGGCTTGTGGTTAGTGTATTGGACAGAACAAGTGTCAAACTTTCAGTTCCAGATATTTATCTAGTCARTGCCTTTATGCAGTTTAAAAAACCTGTCGAGAAAGTGTCTATTTAGAAAGTGGCTAACATTTTATTTCATTCAGAGTCTAGAACTACTAGTTACTGAAAGTAACTTAAAATTTTGAGTACTCACAGAATTCTGGAGGGACAAAAGAATTTAAAAATTATTTAGTCAAGCTAGGCACAGTGGTGCATGTCTGTAATCCCAGCAACTCAGGAGGCTGAGGCAGGAGGATAGCAAGTTTGAGGTTAGCCTTAGAATCTTAGTGAGACCCTCAGCAACTTAGCAAGATCCTGTCTCAAAATAAAAAATTAAAAGGGCCGAGGATGTGGCTTAGTGGTTATATACCCCTGAGTTCAATTTCCAGTACTAAATATATTAATTTATTAATTAAATAMCACTTAACAAAGAAGAAAACTAAAACCCAGAAAGTTTCATAACTTGCTTGATAATAYATGCAATTCATTAGAGGGACAACTGGGCTAGAATCCAACTATTAGAATGAAAATTTTCAGATATTTGATCTGGGGTCTTCTCTTTCTATTCCAAATAACAGTAATAATATAGATACACATATATATTAAAAGATAAAAGTCATACCGATGTGCTGGCCGTAGCACCCTGGAATGTTGTAGGAACATCATCTTGTATATCATTTAGTGAAAAAGAGTGGTTTAAGTCTGATTCAGCAATAGTCTTTCCAGATGAATTGACTTCTGCCTATATATAAGATAAGACCCAAGAGTAGAATTACAAGAAGAAACATACAGAATAACACACAATCTACTAAATTTCTCTCTTGGGTTTATTTTAATTGCTAGTTTAATATCTACTACTAATAAGTTATAAGCTTGAGCACTCATGTGCCTGATACCATGCTAAATATTAGAGGAAGAGGCATAGGCAATCCATGTTCTTAAGGAGAACAATATCAACACCCGTGTTCACCCATGTTCATAATCTACAATTTAAATTTGAAATTTCATAATCTATAATTTCAAAACATCTCAAAATTGAAGTATTTTGGGTAATTTTTATGTGGAGCTGACCTGAACTGATGTCAGTGAGACTAGTAGTCTTTATCCTACATTAGTGTAGATATTCCCAGACTTGCTGAGTAAATATTAATGGATTTGATTATAAGCTGCTACCTCAGATTCTACTAAATGTTAGTTAATATATAGCATATGTACTATATTTTCTAAAATCTGAGAAATTCTGATGTACAAAACATACTTGGCTTTAATATTTTCAGATAAGTTATTTTAAGTGTTAATAAGCATCATAAGAAGGAAGAAAATATAACTGACATTTATACCTCCTTTTCTAGGCACTACAATAACGTAGAAGGGAAAACTTCCCAAGAACTGGACCTAAAGGACAGACATCATGCAAAGAAGTAGAGAAGAAGGAGAAGGYAGCATATTGTTTAATGAAGGTTAACATTTTCTTTTCTGGAGCTAATTAAATTCCAAAACATAAGTGTAGCCAAAGTAAAAGTACTATATAAATCCTATGGTTGGGTAAAACATGTATAAAAAAGGGATAAAAGGGAGATATGTCAAAATATTAGCAGTAGTTATTTATTGGRGATGGGATTATGGATGATTATCATTCTTTTTTATTTTTTGTTTTTAAATTTGTTCTAATCAGTTATACATGACAATAGAATATATTTTGACACATTGTATACAAATGGAGCACAACTACTTCTTCCTCTGGCTGTACAYAGTGCAGAGCCACACTAGTAGTGTAATCACATGTATGTATAGGGTATATGTATATGTCTGTCTTATTTCACCGTCCTTCCCAGCTTCTCCCCTCCTCTTACTCTCCTCTGCACAATCCAAACTTCCTTCATTCTTCCCTACACCCTCCCCCACAGTATGGATCAGGATCTGCTTATCACAGAAAACATTTGGCCTTTTTAATTATCATTCTTATTTTATCTATATTTTCTAAAATAATAGCTAGAATTTTTAAGCACCTGGGACAGTTCTAAATATAATGTATGTATTACATGTATTAACTCACTTAATCCTCACAAGAATCCTAGGGGATATAGGCTAGGTTCCATTATTATTTACAGATAAGAAAAAAGTATAAACAGCTGTGGAGTCTGAGGCAGGAGGATCATGAGTTCAAAGCCAGCCTCAGAAAAAGCAAGGTGCTAAGCAACTCAGTGASACTCTGTCTCTAAATAAGATATGAAAGGGCTGGAGTTGTGGCTCAGGGGTAGAGCACTTGCCTTGCAAGTGTGAGACCCTGGGTTCGATCCTCAGCACCACATGAAAATAAATGAATAAAATAAAGGTATTGTGTCCAACTACAACTAAAAAAATAAATATTGAATATATATATATATATATATATATTAGGAGAGGGGCTGTAGCTCAGTGGTAGAGTGCCTGCCTCGCATATGTGAGGCACTGGGTTCAATCCTCAGCACCACATAAAAATAAATAAATAAAGACATATAAATAAATAAATAAAATATGAAATAGGGCTGGGGATGTGGCTCAGTGGTCAAATGCACCTGAGTTCAATGCTTGGTACCAAAAAAAATAAATAAATAAAGGGGGAAAAAAAGCCCACAGTGGTTAAGTAACACATCTGGCATCACCCTACTATGAGCAGTGAAGTTAAGATAAGAACCCTGCCATTCTAATTGTATACCAGAGTCAAAGTTAAGTGCCATGCTATAATGCTTTTATGAATGTAAACCATGAGTTTTGTAATAAGAAAAAAATTATTTGTAAAATCTCATTGCAATCAAACTACATTGCCTTCTTTTTATCCATAATTCAAGAGTAAACCAAAAAGGATACCTAAATAGAATTTATTTAGGGCATATGGTTGTGGCTTAGTGGTAGAGTACTTGCCTAGCATGTGTGAGGCACTGGATGAGATCCTCAGCACCACATACAAATAAATAAATAAAATAAAGGTAAAAAAATACAATAACTTTTTTTTTTTAAAAAGAATTTATTTAGGAATCTACAGTACCTTAAAACTGATTTGTCTAGCCAGTTCCTTGGCTTCTTGGTCAGCCTGGCTTGAATCACTTCCAGATTTTAAAGGCAAGAGGACATCTTTCATGGCAGAGCCACATCCTTCACAGCAGAAATCTTGTGACCTGGCAGGAAATAATTATGTGCAATGAGTATACGTCAAATAGTTGAATGTTGATCCTTTTTTGTTAGATATTCAAATACTGAATGATTAAATTTAAAAGAAAAAGAGTACTGAGGCTGTCTCTGCCTTTGGAGAAGGCCCACATTCTCCCTTTAAGGCATATTCCTTGCTTTACCCAAAGCCTTGCCCCTATTCCTCCTTGAATATGACTGCTCTTGGTTACACAGACAAAAATGCTCCTGCAGAGGGATGTAGCTCAGTTGGTAGAGTGCTTGCCCACATACATGAAGCCCTGGGTCTAATCCCCAGCAAAACACATACACACACACACACACACACACACACACACACACACACACACACACACGCTTCTGGAAAAAAACAGAGACGGTGACACTACTAGGCAATCACAACTTGATAAAATCTCCTGAACTTTATTCTAGATCATTTAGTGAGTTGTTGCAATGAGCTATATATTACAGATGCAAAGATAGATAGAGGGGATTCCCTCCCCACCCTCAAGAAATTTTGAACCTTGTGGAAAGCTACATGTAAATAATTGCTCTGGTTCTTTTCCATCTGTAATACCATCCAAATAGACAAATGGTCAGTAATGTTTTCCAGGAGAAAAATTATATTTCACTGTAGTAAAATAAATCTTAGTGAAATATTATCAACTACTTTTTAAAAACAAGACAACATGAATGCAACTTTTTTAGTTTCTGGTCACTCCAAAGAAATTAGAATTGGATTTGTACAGCAGCAACAGGAAGACCAGATCCTGGGGGCAAGGTCACAAAGTTAGAGACAGCTTAGTTCCTAACAGTCATTACCCACAATAGTACTCTCACCCTAACAAAAAATGAAATACACAACTTACTTTTTGGCAAGTGCTTTTCTTTCCTCAGGTGTGTAATCGAGAGAACCTATGGCTCCCTCTCCTTTTGTTGGCATAAACCCAATGATGGCTAGTAATGCTGTTCTTACTGAAATAAAAAAAAATTAAACATTAATTCTGAGTTTTTTTTGCAAAAGGAAAGAGAGAGAGAGAGAAGGCAGCTTTTAAGTAGGGAAATTATATTACAATGCTGACAAAAAATCTGACATGGATTTTTATTATTATTCAATGACACCAAATTATTTATCCAAAAACAGCTTCAGTCTCAAGAGTCTTTTGTATTGTTACTAATTGGTTGAAGTCATATGAGATTTATATTCACTATTAATTAATACTTACTACTCCATGAGGGCTGCCAAGTTTCAGGATGATGTCCTGAGATGCTCAAGCAGATTTTCTTGCCCACTTCAAAGCGTCCATTAGCCTTAGAAATAGAGTACATTTAAAAAATTAAAAATTATATATGTGTACCTAATGTTTTATACTTTCTAAATATATTTTATCTTTATATTGATATGTAAATAATAAAGATATTTTTAAAAATAATATAACTAACAGGAACACACATCTTTGTCTTCTTATAGACATTCCAAAAATACAAAAATACATGTTGGATGCCAAAATAATAATAAAAGCTGTTTTTAGAAGGTGTATTAGCACCTTTTTGAAACTGAGTTGTATAATCTAAATAGTAAACATACAAAGAGATATTAATGCCCTACCCTGTACCTCAGATAAAACTAGGGTAAGTTAGGTCCTAAGATAAAATCTAAGGCCTCGTGTCACCTAACCTGGTATTCATGAGTAAAAGCACAGAGAAAAAGGCTTTGAGACAGGAATGATTTGCAGAAAGATGATGCCATTTAATAAGATAGGAACACAGAAGAAGAAAATCAAAGACATTTCAGTTTTGGACATGAATCTGCCATCTTAGTTGGAAAGCTACTGATAATGTCCTGCAAGCAGGTAGAAATGTAAGCATACTGAAGTCTATAAAGAACATACAATACCACTGGTATCTCTTCCCAGAGGTAAACATTAGGCCATTTCATAGAAATARAACAAAAAAGACAGCTACAGTGTAAACCTGCAGAACATCCATTGTTTGTTCTCCTAAATAAGAAGCAGCAATAAGTTAGATATAAGTTCCATTTTGGCAGAGACTTATAACTTACTCTCTGCTGCACCCACTGGGCCTGGCACAAGACTTACATTTAATAAATGTTTACCAAATTAAAGTTAAAGAAGACTTTTCAAAACAGAGGAAGTAAATAAGAAGGAGTGCAACACTGAATATCAGGAGGTCAGGGCCAGTTCTCAGTGTGGTAAATCTATCTAACCATACCACAAGGTAACTATAAAATATTTCTGTACTTGTTGGTAAAGAGCTGCTGCCGACTACCCCCACTAATGCAAACACACACAAACCAAGTTTCCCTTTACATCAGCTTCTCCCTCAAGACTACTTGGCTTTTCCCAAGATCTAGCAAACTAAATGATGTAAGTCCTGACTACATAGTAGGGTACAGGAACCTGCTTCAGCCCTACGCCAGCATTAACAATTTTCARAATCACTCACTACTTGTTAAGTGGCTTTTATACACCAGGAATTTTACTGTGTGATTCTATCGCAACAGATTAGAACACTGAACTTCAAAGACTACGTAACCTGCACACAGTGTAATGGAAACAGTGTGGGTTTATAGATTCTAAAACAAATGCTGGCTGRACATATACCTGTAATCCCAGCAGCTCAGGAGACTGAGGCAGGAGAAYCTCAAGTTCAAAGCCAGCCTTAGCAACTTAGCTAAGTTCTGAGCAACTCAACAAGATCTTGTCTCTAGTGAAAATATAAAAAAGGGCTAGGGCTGGGCACAATGGCACATACCTGTAATCCTAGCCACTTGGGAGGCTGAGGTATTAGGATTACAAATTCAAGGTCAGCCTAAGCCACTTAGGGAGACCCTATTTCAAGAAATAAATAAATAAATAGGACTGGGGGTGTAGTTCAGTAGTTCAACACTCCTGGTTCAATCCCCAGTATGAAAAAAAAAAAAAAAAGGATACACTCTAAATTCCAGATCATCTCAATGAGGTAGGCATCATTATTCTCATTGTGAGTATGTGGAAACCAAGGAAAAGAGTATTAAGATGGTGGGACATTAAARGGATGATATAACCATGATATACACTAACATTAGCAGCCCTTTGTTRAGTATTTAACATGTGCCAGACATTGTGCCTAGCATTCTGCATATATTAATTCATTGAATCCTAACAACTTGCTATGACATTTATGCATTCATTAATAGCACTTCTCAAACATGTCAGCTTTCTAGGAATTATTTTGAGGGAATAAATGGCAATCCCAGATCTAGATGCAAAAGGTAAAATTACAACTTTATCTCTTAACGAAAATGAGTATGCTGACTATATTTTGCAGCCCCTGGGAAGTGTTAAATCACAATCATTCCCAAAAGCCAAGAATTCTTACCGTTAGGAGAATAATGCTTGGTGGCTTCATGGGATACTCTGGTGGCAGTACTATTCGTCCATGATAAACTCCTCCATCAAAATCAGAATCTGGGGGCCCTCTAACTGTGAAGTGCCATTCAAAAAGGTTATCCTGAACAACAAAAAAAATAATCCAAAAGGAATCAATAACATAAAAAAGTTTGATAATTATGAATATTAGAAATACTGCCAGGTGGGAAAAATCAAATGTTTTATATCATTGCTAGGCTAGTTTCTAATGCATGAAAATCTGAGAAATAAAAGTTAAATAAATGTTATAAATAAAATATATAATGTAATAAATGCTTTATGTCTCATAAAAGCTAAAACCTTTTTAACAAAATGCATTTAAAAACTTCTGAATGTAGGGCTGGGCTCAGTGGTAGAGCACCTGCCTGCCACATGTGAGGCACTGGGTTCCATCCTCAGCACCGCATAAAATAAAAAATAAAATAAAAATAAAGCTATTAAAAATTTTTTTTAAAAGTTTGCATAGACATCTGAAAGATGTCTATGTAAAAAACCCAGGTCAAGGCACTGAGTCTTCCAAACTGTAAAGTGTCTGAGGTTCTTTTCACTTTCTTTCCCTCAGTCTCAAGACCTAACACAACTTAGCATCTAAGATCCATTTAGACAAGAAATCTGCTCTGTCTAAAAGTCTGATTCTGAAAGCTAGTGAGATATGTATGAAATAAGGAATAAAATAGATCAATAAACCAYATCACTCACCTGTAATGACTCAAAACAATAAAAAAGCAATTTTAAAGAACTTATTTTAAAGATTAAAGTATTTAATTCTTCCATATGAAAAATATGGAGATAGAAACTAACCTCCAAAGGCTGCGCATGGTAATGGTCTGTTGGATCTTTCAATTCTGCAGCTTCTTTCATTAAACGTTTAACAGCTAAAATAAAATTCATAAGATATATTTAAAATATGCTTTTCTGAGTGATTAACACAGACTATAAGCCTAATGAAAAAGTTCCTACTTCAATGAAAACTGTGCAATTCAACTAAATAGACAGTAAAGGTTTAATTAYGGGGTAACAGTAATAAACAGCCGGGTGGGGGATGGTAGCTAGACATTATAAGAATGGCATACTTTGGAGGCTGAGGTTGTGGCTCAGTGGTAAAGTGCTCACTTAGCACATGTGAGGCACTGGGTTTGATCCTCAGCACCACATAAAAATAAATAAACAAAATAAAAGTACTGTGTCCATCTACAATTAAAAAGAATTTTTTAAAAAAAGGAATGGCAAAAAAAATTTTTAAAAAATTAAAAAAAATAAAAAGGAATGGCATACTTTGGAAGTTACATATTAAATTAAACATATAGGGAAGATACTACTTTTATCTTGTAAATACTTACATATTCTTTCTATGTGATAGCATTTACCTAAGTTCTTTAAAAGTATTAACTCATCTAAAAAAAGTTATTAACTCATTTAATCCTCAAACTACTAGACTGGCATTATTTTTATCCTAACTTTCCAGTTGAGGAAACTGAGACACAGAGGGGTTACATAACTTATTCAAGTTCAAATAGCTAGGAAATGACAGCTGGGATTCCAACACAGGCAGTCTGACTCTACTTGTTAAAATGAATTTATTAACAAAAATGTGCCCTCTGCATCTTGTGCCCAATGAAAAGTAAATCCCTTTATATYCTCAATCTTTTGGGTCTTTCCACCATTATTTTGCATTAACTTAATAGGGCTGTTCCAGAAATCCAGTGATTCTCCATAGCCCTAATTAAATTTCTTTTCAAAAGAACTCTTCAGGGATGGGGATGTGGYTCAAGCGGTAGCGCGCTCGCCTGGCATGCGTGCAGCCCAGGTTCGATCCTCAGCACCACATACAAAGATGTTGTGTCCGCAGAAAACTAAAAAAAAAATAAATATTGAAATTCTCTCTCTCTCTCTCTCTCTCTCTCTCTCTAAACAAAAATAAAAACAAAACAACAACAAAAAAAACTCTTCAGCTTAATTAAAACCTCCAATGCACTGACACAAAACTATTCTCCACCTTACCTACACTTATATTCATTTCTATTTTTATCCTCACCCTCCACCATTGAAAGTCTCTTWCATGCTCCCTAATACATTTCAAGTCTGGCTAACCCAACCCAATCATCTTATTTGGTGTATCTATCCAAACAGCTAGGCATGGGGCTAAGGCAGAGGCTCAGCAGTAGAGAGCTTTCCTGGTGTGTATGAGGCACTGGGTTCGATTCTTAGCACCACATATAAATAAATAAAAATAAAGGTCTATCAACAACTAAAAAAAATATTTTTAAAAAAATAGCTAGGCATTGTTGAAATGGGGGGGGGGGAGTCACAGACAATGGCACATTAATGCCATTACAGAATCATCACCAACAACTTCCACTAGGACACAATGCCACCTAATGTTCCTACATTCCCTGGTAAGACACCAGCCTACWCTCTTCACCTAGCACACTAAGACAGTTACACACCTATCCTTATCTCTCCTCTCTCACCTCTTTCGGTTAATAACAGCAGCCTTTTATCTCCAAGATAACTGCCTTAGCAGGAGCAGAATTAAAGTCTAGCACCATCTACAATCCTATCTCTATCTGTACCCTCTTTCCCTCTCTATTGGCTCTCAAAAGTTCAATCCTCTGATATGTGCTCTGAATCTCAATCCTTCTCACTTCAGGTGAGAATCCCTAAATTAATGACAAAGTAAGAGGGAGGGCTTCTCAAAACGTTCCTCAAAACCTCTAGTTCAATATGTGCTACAGAGAGACATGCACAAGATGTTGGGAGGGCTAAGTGGGGATCTAACTTTAGAGCAGACAGAAGAGAAAAGGAATCAGGTACCCATATTTGAAAAAATAAACAAGTAATTACTCATTTGGGTATGACTAGGCAGAGGGAATAATAAAAGTAAAACGTGTAGAAGATAGGTTGGAATGTTATAGGGAAAGGGGTTAACCAAGAAGCACCCACATATATATAATCAGAGCAGTTTGGGATTATGACTTTTCCACAAATTATCATTTGAATCAAAGGCTCCTAGGCTTTAAAAAAGCTTAAGTCACTATCCTAATTCATAATTATTAACATTCTTTTCAATCTCCTATTCTGAAATAAGCCCCTGTAGGCAGAGACTTTGTTCACTTGACCATCAAATATTCACTGAGTTCTCAACTAGGTGCTACAGCTACAATCATAAACAAAATATAGTTTGGTCACCAAGGAGCTTATAGTTGGGAGACAGTCAATAGAAAATGGCATAATAAATGCTATATTAGAAACATGTGAGAACTCACGGGAACTCCAAAGTAGCAGGTGCCCAAGGCATCAAGAGCCGCCGTATTGCCCAACAGTAAAGGTAAAATATACAATACAATCAATCCAGCATCACAGCAATTATATATAGCTTAATTCAAATCATCATCTCAATGGCTCGCTGGCATCACCTTTCAACCATTCCCTCTGGCAAATGCCAGGCATCATTCTGACTGGGCTGTGGCTCTCAACATATAGTATGAGGACATAGGTGGGATAATAATGAATGCTTAATAAAAATAAATAGAAAAATAAAAAACATTAAAAAAATTAAAAAAAAAATATAGTATGTATATTAAGGGACTCAGCCTAGTCTCTATAGCAGTGGTTTCCAAACCTRAGAGGCCATAAGAATCCTTTGGAGAGCATTTTGAGTCTCTACTCCTGTTCAGATGAGAATCGCTAGTTACCTCTCTGAGGGGAGGACAAAGGAAGGTGCCAAGAAAATCTTCCTGAGGAAGTTATCTCAGGATATTAAAAGTGGGAGCCAGTCCAGATGATGATGGGAGTTGGAGCAACTTTGTAAGCTGAGGAAACATTATGTAGGAAAGCCTGAACTAGAGAGAATGTAGAATGTGTTTAAAGAATTGAACAAAGCCTAGTGTCTAGAACTTGGMGAAAGTCAAACAGAAGGTAAGATTTCTTTAGTGTTTATATAATTTATTTTTATAAATGCTTTCATGAAAAAGAATATTCTGGATTTAGAACTGCACTAAATTTTTTGCTCTGACATTTTGCAGCTCTAAGTCTTTGAACAAGTACTTAATCTTACTATAGCTCACTGTTTACATTTGTCAAACAAAAGTCAATAATTGCTTCATATCATTCTCCTTTCCTTTTCACCCCTACCATTCCCCCAGGTCATGTATCCTAAAGGTTAAAAAATGATCTTGGATAAGGCTGGGGGCATAGCTCAGTGATAAAGTGCTTGCCTAACGTGTGAAACCCTTGCGTTGATCCCAAGCACTACCAAAAAAAGAAAGAAAAAGAAAAACTGAGATATAAAGCCTTCTCAATGATTCTCTCTGGTTCAAAAATCAGGCCTTGGCATCTGCAGATGGCCTTATGGCATGGCTCCCTGGGCTGCTGCACAGAACTACCACTGCTACAGGATAGTTGAGGCTCCACTGCTATAGGATAGTTGAGGCTCAAAGTGCTACCTGGCAAATAGGGCTAGAGCAGAGTCTGCTCTTCCTTATACCCCATCACTTGATTTCTCATGGCTAGTGGAACTTTTTCACTCTAGCTACTCTCAGTTCTTTGCAAGMTTATTCTATGGAACCCTCCTCTTATGTGGTGAGATAAGCCAAAGAAGGGAAGGTTGAAACCTGCATACCTGTTCTTCTTATAGATACCACCCTGGACACTCTGAATCAAAGCTCTAAGCTCCGTGAGCCCCGGCATTAGCCCTCTTCACATGCCCACTCTAGCTCACTGGGCTTCCATTGAGTTTTGGAGCCAACATCCTGCTAGAAATAAAGGGACCATTTATAGAACTCTGTGTCCCAAATATTAATTTCTCTTGTAAAGCAAATAACTTAAAATTATTGGTTCCCAAAGCATGAGTGAAATGCAGAAGGCAGAAATATTGAGGATGTGAATCCAATATACCAATTGCCTTTTCCTGCTCCCATAATAAGTAACATTTAAGTAAATGTTTAAGGACTGATTTTTAGCATCGAAAGCTCCTGCAAAGGTATCCATTCAACATACATTTGAAGAGTGTCTGAGTGCTGGAGGCAGAGAATGACCAAGACCTGCTGCCTGGCCTCAAAAGGCACACAGTTAAAATTAGAAGGACAGAAAAATAATTACAATACACTGTGGCAATACTAACCAGGTACAAGGACTACCTTGAGGGGCTGGGAAAGGCTGAAGCTTTAAAAAGCTTGAAAAATAAAAAGGAATTCTGGATGTTTTAAATGAAAAGCATTTCAAGCAGAGATTCCAACAGGAACCAGCACATGTGAGAAAAATTATTCCATCTGGAGAGTAGTTCAGGCAAAATGAATGGATGGTGAAAATATAAAGGAACACAAACATAATGGGCAAAGAGGCTAGTGAAGAAGGCAAGGGTCAAGACTTAAGCAGCCCTGCAGGCCAAGCGAAGCAGTTTATTTGAACTTTATCCACAGCTATCAGTAGGCTATTGAATATTCTGTAACATTCAGSCATGATCTAATCAGTTTTTATTTCCTTTTAATTGATTTGGTGACAATAGTGACTGAAGGCTGGGGGGAGGGGAGTTATGTGTTTCAGGATAGGGATAGTACAAAAGAGTTGACCAAGAAATCAATAATTCCTACTGGTGCCTGAGTGCGGTCAAAATCCCTGAGATGAGAAATACCAGGATAAGGAGCAAGTCTGGGGTCTGCGAAGGAGAGAAATCTAATGAGTTTAGTTTTTATACCTCATCTTTTTTTTCAATCTGTAGAAAATCTGAGTGAAGATGTTGAGTCGTCAGTAAATTCTATATATTTACAGCTTAGGAGAAGGGTCTGAGTTGGACAGTAAAGCCGGGAACSATTAGCATGAAGGTAAGGTCAACACCAGCGGCATGAATAGAACAGTGAAGGTGCGGGGCATCTTTGGACCAGTCTCTCATGTTCCCATCACCAAAGAGAATGCAATTTTTGACACAGCTACAAGGATGTCAACCAAAGTGCAACCAACTGGTAATAAGCTGCATACTTTGGAAATCTACAGGATTCTGGATAATTTTTAAAGTTGGAGAATTTTTAAATCTTAGCTATGCTAGCTAGCCTATCAAAACTGAACAAAATCCCCTAACAACTCTTGGGACCCAAAAAGTTTCCATTCTAACCTTCACTACTACTCATACTGCATTATTCTCTGGACATTGCACTAAGTATCCCAGCTGTCMTAATGAACCATGCAGCTAAGGAGTCACGACACGATTACATATGTAAGTTTTTTGTGGGGGGTTATTTGTTTGTTTTGGTACTGGAAATTGAATCTTTCCTTTCTTTCTTTTTTTTGAGACAGGGTCTCACTAAGTTGCTGAAGCTGGCCCAAACTTGTGATCTTCCTGCCTCAGCTTCCCGAGTTGCTAGGATTGATTATAGGCATTTGCCACCATGCCCAGTTTCACCACATAGTTTTCTTTAAACCAACCGCTATCTAAAAAATTCAAACATTCTACCATTGAATCTCAAAAACTAAACTTAACTTTTATTCTTTCTCTTTGATCTTTTTTTTTCTATTCCTGAGATTCTTAAGTGATGAGCTTTTTTTATTTTTATTTTTTTAATTCCTGAAATTCTTAAGTGGTAAACCTACTGAAATTGAATCTATGTCTTAAGACATTCTTACAGAGGTCATAACCTTCAGCAGACTATAGTCTATAATGCCCAAAATTTATTGACTGATTTTACACAGTTGGTCACCTAAGGACCTTTTTTTAGCCTGACAGCACTCAGGCCAATAAGGCTGTTCAAGCAATATTCTAGAGCTTTTTTGCATATTCTGAATTTTGAGGGGTGGGGTGGGGGGAAGGGTACTGGAGATTGAGCTATGTTTTTATTTTTTATTTTGAATATTCTGAACATTTTTTTTTAATGAAAGATTTACACCTGGTGCAGTGGTACATGCCTCTGATCACAGCTACTAAGAAAGCTGAGGCAGGAGGATGGCAAGTTCAAGGCTACCTGGGCAGCTTAGCAAGAATCTGTCTCAAAGTTTAAATAAAAGGGCTGGAGATGTAGCTCAGTAGTAGAATACTTACCTAGCATGTGTGACAACCTGGGTTCATTACTCAATACCACAAAAAAATAATTAAGGATCCATAATGTCAACTCTTTCTGAAAAGATGATATCCTTGCTCATTTCTAATAGGTAGCAATCTTGGAAAGAAAATTCTAAGCAGCAGCAAGAATTGGTCAAACYATCAGTAATATCCCATGATTTACCATTCAGAGCTGAACTGTAGGTTCTTTCTTCTGACAAATTTATCAAGGTACAGACAGAATAAATACCTTTTATGGAATCCACTGATTAGTTAAGTTCTGTCTTAATCTGAGAGAGCTGGTTACTTTTCTTGCATTTTTTTTAATGCACCAGAAAATAACTAGAGATAGGGTTGTTTGAGCTGCTTATGAATGAAGCAGGGAAATTCAATGCGGGAAAGAAAAATCTTTGTGACTGAATTCAGATATATATCTTATTTAGCTAGTTTGACAAAAATCATGGTTAAGTCATGACAAAATCATCCTAAGTGCATGGCTCAACTAGTTTTTTGGCTCTGTGGTTAAACATTTTAGTTACAGAACATTTCCTTCGTGTGTGTAATTCTATTTGCTCCAAATGCTGCAAATAGGATATTTAAACGACCAACCTTCTAATGTGAGTGAATCAAAAAACTATACCAAGTCCAGCAGCGGCGGCGCGGAGGGGGAATCACTACGGTATCAAAGATGCAGGTACAGCAAGGGGCTGTTGACCATTACCCATGGACATCACCTTTACACTTGTTCTTAGGCGCCAGTTTATGAYTCGGCTCTATGGGGCGAAAAGGGGGAAAGGAGAGGCCGGGTACTAAGGGGTTCTGGCGGTACCCGGGGAGCCGCGGCGAGAGCCCGCCCCGCCCTGCGGCCTGCACCTCCCGGGCAGGCGGCGGTCTCGCGTAGAGCGCGGAACCGCGAGCGCAGCCGCGAGGAGTGGGGGACACGTGAGGCCGCCTGCGCCGGGCCCTAGGGCCGGGGGGGTCACTTCGCTCTCCTCGCCCACCGCCCTGCTTACCCGGGCTCTTCAGGTTGTAGCGGGTCTCCATGGCGGGTCGCTGGAGCGGCTCGGGTCTCCCGGCCGCTGTCACCTCCTCTCGGCACTGCCGCTGTCSGGTCTCAGCGTGGCTCGGGCCGACCGGGTCTGGCCGAGGGGCCTCCGCAAACGCCGCCCAGTCCAGCCGGGACTGCGGGCGGGGTGGCGAGGGTGCGGGCGAGGCGCGGGCTCCGCGGTGGCGCCGCCTCCTCCGCTGCTCCCCCGCCTCCCTGAGGGCCGGGCAGGCGCCGGCGCCGGCCGGGGCGTCGCTGAACCGGGCGCCCGGGGTGCAGGTCAACCTGCTGGTCTGGCCGCGGGCCCAACCCCGCCGCGGCCGCCGGCTTGCGTCACCCGCCCTCGCCCGGGTTTTGTGAAGTTGTCCTGACGTGGCAGTCGCTTCGTGGCGGCCCGGTCACCCAGCGGCCGCCGCCCGCCAGGCACTGCCCTTCGGAGATCTGCAGGAATGGGCGGCGCTCTCGCAGTCTGTTCGCCGCAGCCCCCGAGGCTGACCTTCGCTGGCCACCCGGGGTCCCCAGGCGGTGCAGCGGAAGCGGCGCTGCAGGCGGGTCCGGGACCTGGCCCGGGAGCGCTGGGGGTGGCAAGGGCCCACGGGGTCGATCGCGTCCAGTGCTTCTGGGTCCAGTAGCTGTTTGGGGTGGGGTATGGGCTTACGTGGGGGGGGGGGAGCCAGCGATGAGGGAATCAAGTAGGATTTTATAACGATTTTCCCCTCAGACTTGATAAGATGCAAGACACCGTTTTAGGCAATTCGGGAAATTTAAAAAATAAAACTTGTCCAAAAATCAAACTGGGAGTCTCATTGAATTTAAGTGAAAGAATACGAGTATGGAAGGTTAAAACTCAAGAGACACACTTCATACTTCTTTGTGGAAAGAGTGGGACCGAGAAAAAGGAGTGTGGGTTCATAAGGCCTGTGAGACCTCAGGAAAGGAGGGTGGAAGGACCCTGGGTGGTGGGAAGACTGAAGGGAGGATTTCTAGGTGGGTTGAAGAGGGTTAATCCGGTTGGGCAAGTTTTTATTATATAGAAGAGTCTTAAATTTGATTTGTTTTATATTGTTCATCTAAAACTATAAGTGAATTTCTTGGTGTCTGGATTTCACTAGCTGCTCTTTGGTTTTGCAGTACTATGGATTGAATCTAGGTGTGTTAGGCAAGCGTTCTACCAGCTCCCCTACCCCACCTCTCTCCCACCCACCCCGAGGGTCTTGCTAAATTGCCCAGGCTGGTCTCCAATTTGCGATCCTCCTATTACAGGTACATGCTACTGCCAGAGTGAAATTGGGAAGAATAAAGAAGTGAACTTTATTTAAATCAGATGGTATCTTTTAGACCATTCCGTGGTGGTGTTTCTTGAATAGTAAACTGATAGTCTGGTTGAAATAGGAAAATAAAACCAGATTCAAATGTGCTGCTTCATTCACTCATTTATTTTTTGTTTTTAATCTTCAGATTATCTTAACACTTTACACCCTCTCCTGCCACAGATCTGTAAAGGCCCCTGGTTTGTGCAGTAGGCCTTACAGTAGCCAAGCCTGCCAATTCGATTGTTGATCAGATCATCAGCCTCTTGGTTCAATTTGCTTCTGGGGCTCTCCTGAATTTTCCTCTCCACAAAAGGCTGGGAGGAGGATGTTTTACTTTTCTTTCATGGTGAAAGCCACCAGTACCTAGTCTGCCCCCTGGGGCTCTTTTCCCCACAAGACTGGATTAGTAGGAGCCTTCTCCATCCTTGGGTAAACACAACAAATCTATTCGGACAGTTTAGTTATGGGTATATGTCAAAACTTAATTTATAATCTTGCTGCAAGAGCAAGGCCAATTTCAAATTTTCTCTAGACAGAGACATTTACAGAGAAAAAAGTACTTAGGTACAAAAAGAAGAGTAATTTAAAAAGTCAATAGATTCTTGACAGAATTTAAATTTATCCAAAATTGCTTATATTTTATCAAGAACTTATTTCTTCTTAGAAGGATGTTATAAACTACATCAGACAAGTAAGTTCTAACCCATATGAAATTTGGTATATTGGTATAATTTTTTTTTTCCTTTCCCTCCTCCATTTGCACTCTAGAGCAAGGTCTGGACTTAGTATCTACTGTGTAGTGTATCAGGCATTCAACATAGATCAACTTATTTATTCTTATAACAGGCAGTGGCACAGATTATTTATACTCATTTTACAGATGAGGTCTTGGAGGAATCAAGTTATTCACTTAAGTTTTCAGTTTTCAACTACAAGTTCTTACCCTTCTGAGGATTTCTTTTTTTTAGATTTATATTTATTAATTTGAATACTTTGAAATCTATTTCATGAAGATTCTTWAAAACTTCAACAATTGTCCAGAAATTTAGAACCCTGATTCAAATGCAGGTCTTCAGACTCTGAAATCTGGATTGTTTTTTCTAAATTGAGAAGGAATCAGGCCATCTGTGTCACACCAGACGACTTTCCCCCACCATTTGAAAAGAGAGATATGTTTCTTAAAATTTCAGTGCTATTTTTGGGTCACACATTTTAAGATAGTTATTCTTCAGCATTAGCAACTTATTTTTAAAATGACTTATTTCCTGATCATCAAAACAATGTGATTATTGTTCAGTATTTGGAGTATGAACAAAATTGAAATATCCCACAATCCTCCTGATCAGAAATGGCTGTGATTAATATTTTAGTATATTTATCTTGAGCCTTTGTTATAAAGCATAGATATTTTAAGAGTTGAAATCCCATTTTMGATACTTTTCTATAATAAAGATATTTACAAACAACAATGCTGTTATCACTTAGATGTATAATATGAATTGTCTAATTTTACACAATATCTTACTAAAGTAAAATTTTAAAAAGAGAAACAGCTTGGAAAGCCATATATGGTCTTAACTATAAACATTTTATTAATTATTTTGAATTCTTAGAATTTTTAAATTTTTTTTCAGAAAAAAAAGAATAAAACCTGCCACAGTTGTTTTCTTGTTTTCCCCCTAGGATTTCCTCTTTGGATTGGTTAATAAGAAACATAAGACATATTCCCACCGTGATGTGGCTGGTATTGTAATAGAGATGTTGATTATGTTATTATCAGGGAAATGAGTTTAAATTCTGGTTACCTAAACAAAATATCAGCTAGGAAGGAGTTCTTTGTTTTTACCTGTGCCCCCTCTTACTGCACTGCAGGTTTATTAGCTGTGCTTTTGCTTAACATCTGGTGGTCAGTGGAGAGATCCGGGGGACAAAAATCTCTTTTTTTTTTTTCTCAGTTTCTGTAATACTCATGATATGCTTTACCTGTTTATTCAATTTTAACATTTTAATAATAATATATTTCAGAGAAAATATCAAGTGAGTATATTTGAAATGCAGTAGGGACCCTCCTAATACTAGTTTAGTAGGTTCCTTCGATCAGATAACTTATAGRACACCATTTCTCATTTTAAAAGTTTTTTTTCCTATGAATAAGCAAGGAAGTGTTTTCTAAATACAATAGCAAAWGGTTGTTTACAATTTATTTATTTATTTTGTACTAGAAATAGAACCCACCCAGGGTTGCTTTACCACTGAGCTACATCCCAAGCCCTTTTTATGTTTTATTTTGAGACAGGGTCTTGCCAAGTTGCTTAGGGCYTCACTAAGTTGCTGAGGTTGCCTTGAGTTTGTAGTTCTCCAGTGGCTGGAATTACAAGCATGTGCCACCGCACCAGGCTATGCAACACTATTTTAAAAAWTTTTTACTATAGCTTTTTTATTATACAATTTGCTAGTATAGCCTTGAATTTCCTGACATCTCCAGAATTATAGCTTTTGGTATCAGGGWTGAGGAAAAAGAAATTCATAGGATTATGCTTTTGCTTTATTTGCWTGGATTGCATTTCTTTATCTTTTTCCCCATAATTTAAAATTAGTAACAAAAATTACAATACTTATCTTCCTTGGTCTTTAGTCCTGATGAACCCATGAGTTTGGCAAGAGTGATTTCATTTTCTAAGTTTAGCTCTAAAGGAAACACCTGCAGTTAAGATAAAACTTTCAGTTCATGGGTGAGAAGACAGGCACTTCAGGGTGTGCTAGCAGACCTCTGGGGCCTTTTTATGTCTCCCCTCTCCTTCTGAGTTCCCTCCTAATAGCTCTTTGGGGCACTGTCCCTCTGCCACTCTACTCCTGCCTTTTTTTCTTGTGCCTCAGTCACCCCAATTTTTCATTTTCTGGACCTCTTTTGGCCACTTGCTGAGTGATGAAACTAACCTGAATACCTTAAAACTTAGTTCCCCACAGTGAAAGCAGTTGATTTCTATTCATGAGAAAAAAATTCTGAGTTCAATTCTTTTAAACAAATTGATATTTTATTCACCACTATAGCATCCACAAACTTCAAAAAAAGATCATTCATAGATACATGAAACATTCTTTATAGACAAAGATCAGCTTATAGATGAATTATGGAACTTCTTATAATTCAGCCACAAGGCATTTGGGGCAATATTACTAATGTCAGAATAATCAAACAACCCCATGCTGCTTTCCATTAAAATGCAATTTACAACTAAAGGCAAACTTTGAATAATAACCAATTCATCAACTTCTAAAAAGCAGCCCAGGATTTTTCTATGGTTTATTCTTTA